CTTGGGTCACAACAACCTCATGCAGAGCTACAGGCTTGGGGAAGAGTGGCTGGAAAGCTGCCTGGCAGAAAAGGACCTGGGGGTGACAGTGGACAGCTGGCTGAATATGAGCCGGCAGTTGGCCCAGGTGCCCAAGAAGGCCAACGGCATCCTAGCCTGTATCAGGAATAGTGTGGTGAGCAGGACTAGGGAAGTGATAATCCCCCTGTACTCGGCACTGGTGAGGCCCCACCTCGAGTACTATGTTCAGTTTTGGGCCTCTCCCTACAAGAATGACATTGAGGTGTTGGACTGTGTCCAGAGAAGGGCTACAAAGCTGGTGCGGGGTCTGGAGCACAAGTCTTATGAGGAAAGACTGAGGGAATTGGGGTTGTTTAGCCTGGAGAAGAGGAGGCTGAGGGGAGATCTTATCATTCTCTACAACTACCTGAAAGGGGGTTGTAGAGAAGTGGGGGCTGACCTCTTCTCCCTGCTGACAAGAGATAGGGCGAGACAAAATGGGTTCAAGTCATGTCAGATGAGGTTTAGATTAGATATTAGGAATAATTTTTTCACTGAAAGGGTTATTAAATGTTGGAATAGGCCACCCAGGGAGGTGTTGGATTTGGCATCCCTGGAGGTGTCTAAAAAAAGGGTAGATGTAGTACTTGGGGACATGGTTTACAAGTGGTTTTGTCAGGGTAGGTTAATGGTTGGACTTGATGATCTTAAAGGTCCCTTCCAACCTCAGCAATTCTATGATTCTATGAATAAAAATGAATAAAACACATTTATGATATTATTAATATAATTCCATTGGATCTATTCATATACACAATCAAAGATTTGGAAATAAGTAAGAATCCTCCACGTACTGAAACTGAATAGAATCTGAAAAGAGGCAAAATTAATACATTTTAACCCTGAATCTCTTCTTAGCACCATGCAACAACAGTTGTACTACAAATGCACAATAGTGACTAGGATCTTTAGTCAGTGGCAGATTTTGCCTCCATCATCACATGCGAAGTTTTAGTATGGTCTTGTCTTTGTTCCTATCATAGCAACTATTAAGTTGGAATAAAAAAATACTAGTCCATAGGTATTATCATGGTATTATCATGGATTTCCCATTGGGATAGTCACCAAAGTTCCCAGAGAAACAAGGCTGTGTAAAGTGTAAGCTTCTCAGTGGGTTTTAAGATGTCACAATCAGCAATTGCTTGGTTGTAGGTATTATCTGCTATAACTCCTTGAAACTTTCAATCACAACAATCATTTGTTAGAAAATGCACACAAAATGTCATATAAAATACAAACAATAAATTACAAGGAACATCCTTTCATTAAGAAATAATTACAAAAACTTTCTACCGAATGAAATTCACGCACATGCAATGTTATCTGCATGTGGAGAATGTTTAGAATGAATTTAGGGATTTTAAAACTGAGATTAAGAAGAGAATAAAAAGATTTTTTTAAACAATAGCACTATATTAACTTTTCAAAATACCTTTATTTTTAATGACTGCAATAAGAAAATCTAATTATAATGATACAAGCGCTGCACTATTTAAGATTATGTCACCTCTTCAATTACTAAATCTTATTCTCATGACTATAACTCAACAGCAAAAAAGTATTCTGTGTTGAATATTGGCCCATGATTTCTTCAAAATAGCAGCACTAATGTTGGAAACATAATTCTGCTGCTATGAATTGCATACAATTTGAAATTAGTATTGTGCGCAAATTTTTTACTTCCTTCAAAGGAACTGGTTGCCCCTAGAGAAAACTGGTTTTCTTCAGAATTTAATAGAATCAATCTCCTAGCACTTAAAAACATTTGAGTTCAAGCAGGATTTGGGGTGAAGCATTCCACGTTAGACCTTCAAATACTACCCAACACAGTGCAAAGTAATGCAAAATGTTTTGAAATACAGATTTACCTCATAAATCTCCAGTATTTCTGCTGCTCCATAAAGTACGTTAAAGAGATATATTAGACAAAAAGAACAAAATCCTGCAGTTGAGGAAACACTTGTAAGACAAACTTTTCTGAGCTAAAGGTAAAAGGACTATGGAGCTACACTATCCAAGGTTTTTACAGATAAGGAACTTAACCCATTAGAAAATACAGACTTGTGTCAGCATGCAGAAGTTGAGAATTTTTATTTTTATTATATTTATATTTTAATTTCTGTTCATGGTAGCCTAACACCATGCCAAAACTTTCTTCAATGTTCAAGAACGGACGCTGCTAGGAGGACCCTGTTGAATGCAAGAGGCGACCTACAGTAGCCTGCAGAGTACAGCAGATCTGGGCAGCACTGTGAGAGTGCTCTAAGATATCATGAGGATACCGTACATAATTTAGTGGAAACTACCTGTGCTCAACACTGTTCCAAGCTATTTCAATACAAAGTGCTCTGTTGCCATTTCCACGGTGTCAGCTTTCCTGCATGTGAGATAAGCTCAAAGATCTTTCCTGCCCTTAGAATGGTACAGTGAATTACCACAAAAAAGTTTCCAAAGCACTTTGAGATCCCTGGATAAAGGTGCTGGATGAGTGAGAAAGATCTTTCTGTATGCTTATGGTTTTTTTTTCAGAGTATAACTCAGATCTTACTTTGCTTCCAGTGCCAGTGCAATGATGCCTGCAGCCATAGGTGCAGAGGCTGAGGTTCCAGTATGGCTGTCTGTGCAACGCTGCCTCAGGTCTGTGGTGATCTGGAAGAAATTGAATGTGTGAAATTTAGAACACAGCTTCAGAAATCAGAACAGGTTTCATTTGCTCAAATGAGTCACTTGTACGTGGAGGGTACTTCCTTCTTTCATTGCAAAGAAAGAAAAAAAATGGTGTCTGAATACATAATGTAGATGCTCTGAGCTTGAAGTCACTTGTGAACTTGCAGAAGTGTTCTCTGTATTGCACCGAAAATATGTTAGTCTCCATTTTTTTCATGGCATGATCAACAAAAAGACGTAAATTAGACAAACATCCAGAGGGTTTTAAAACTGCAGTTAGAACTCTGCCTTTCTATTTGCATTTATAGAGCACTTTCCATTCAAGAATCTCAAAGTGCTTTACAAACAAGAATTAACTAAATCTTACAGTGCTCCCTATATACAGACTGGCTATGCCCATTTTAGAGACTATAAAAGAGGTATGGAGGGGTTAATTAGGTTGCCTGAAGTCACACTGGAAGTATGTGACAGAATAGAATACAGTTGGGCTAACATTAAGTACTGTGTTTAATCCTTCCTTCATGCTTTATGCAATAATTCACATGAAATTAAGCAACAATTCATTGGAAAAACCTGATGTAATCACAAATTTGGCTGAAACATCACCAACCAATTAGTTATTTGCAGCTTTAAATTGTTATGTATTGCTTAATTATATGCTGCCACATATCTTTATATATAACCTAAGTGGATGTATAAACTGTAATGTGCAATACCAACTATAAGCACAGTCTTCTACTTAGTGTTAGGATATATACAAAAGTATGTTTATTCTAAATTCTGCTTCTTTCAGGCAATGTTAATCTAAAGTGATTCTAACCTATACTCTTCTTCTTGAAGACACAATTCCTAGGAAGAGCAAGGCAGTAGAAACAAGACATCACTGCTACCTAGCAGAAGCTCAAGCAAAACCCAAGTGGACTTCAGAACAGTCACTAGCAGGCAGCAGCACGGAAACCTCCATGACGGTGGCAGAGTGAATGACCTGTGACACCAAATCTTATTCTCAGCATTTCAGCCAATTCCTGAGATTCAGTCACTACAAGACATGACAAAAAATACCTGCCTGAGGGGCAGAGAAGTCACTTGCACAGCTTCTTACCTGAGTATACAGAATTATTGTGGCTCCATTTCCTCTAGTTCACTAGTATGATACTTAATTTGCAACACGGATATGCACAAAGATGGGAGGAGAGGATCAGAGGATCAAAAAAACACAGAAAAAGCACAGGGCATGTAAAAATGCCTGTCCTGCTTTGAAACTGGAAGATATGCAAAATATGATCTCAAAAAGCAGCCACATGCCATCTGGGAAGAATACAGGCAATTGCATGTAGGAGGTGCAGGTTTCACACATTTGCATTAGCCATATTCAGTGGTATATGTATTACATAATTTGTATAAACCTGCCGAAAGTTCTCCAAACATGTAAGCATACGCAAGCTAACACAAAAGACTTCTAACAGAGAAGGAGCTAACAGCACCCAGGAACTGATTTTTGAAAGCAAGTAGTGAGCAAGAGAAACAAAATGGAAGCTTCTAGAAGTTGAAAAAGACAGATTAAAGCATTTATAATGTCATATCCTTAAATTAGTGAGCTTACCAAAGGCCAAATTTCTTGAATAATGAAGTCTAGAAAGCACCTTTTTCCCCCCCTATTATTTAATATTCTTTGTCAACACATACCTTGTTAAATAATTTCTTTTATTGTCATCAGTTGAACCCCATAAATAAAATTTTAATGTAATATCTTTATCTCTTTCCTTCTTTCCTATTGGCTGTGTATTAATTTAGACAATGAAAATCAATTGTGTTGGAAAAACCTTTACGCATGTAAATTCCATAAATGCCCTGACAATATTAAGAGATGAAACTGTAGCAGGAACAGACCTAACACTGCATTGCCTATATGTGCAAATGCAAGTAATGATTTTGCAGGTGGGATTAACATGTCCAAGGACTACAGGATGACATGCACCCAAATAGAGACATACAAGATTCAGGTATCCCGTTTGGAAAAACACCGGTCAGTGCTGTGGTAAGAAGTGGAAGAAAGGCCAGGAGAAAGAGAGGGCAGAAAAAGAGACTAATACATGCTTGTCTCTGTTGTAGCCTGGTACCTTGTCCCCTGCAAAGAAGTGGTGCAGCAGGCGCTTTCCTCAGAGGACCAACGGGTAGCAAAGCCTACAGGAGCTCAGACAGGGAGAAGTGCCCTCAGAACAGCTTTTCCTTAAGAGGCAGCCTCTCTCAATACAGTGAAAAGCAGACGGTATTGTGCTATCTGTGTTTCTGATCCTCTGGAAGAACATGTTTCCAGAGTGTTTTTATTGTCCTGTAGCTACGGATATCAAGCACAATAAAACATGAAACCTGTTTATTTGGCAACATCATCTCTCACGTTCTAAGTGGATGTTGTGGCAGCAGTTTCAACTACAGACCTTTATCTCTCTCTTTCAGTCAGCAAATATTTCAGGACAGAAGCTGAGATGTTTAGGTGTAAATTACCTCCAAGATCTGAGGCATGTTTTTCAGCACTATGAATTCACTGTCAGAGAGGTGTCACGTCTACACTGAGAAAAAAAGAGTACAAGACCACCAACAGGCGAGCAAGTTTCAAGAAGAAAAATGGTGCCCCCAATTCCTGAACCACATGAGGGCAACATCATTAATCACAATAAAAGGACGTGGTATTTGACAGCACCATGAAGCTGTCATTAGTGTCTATTAGCCATCATTCTTATCAATAGGGTGGGGAGAAGGAGAAAATTTTAAATCTTTTGTTGAGTACAACACGTTTGTATGGTTCAATTACTTTTGTAAGAACTGCTGATCTATGAAAGCGCTCATCAGACTAGCCAAGAGAAGTCCATGCAATATTTCTAGGGCCCTGAGTTATATCAATGTCTAAATCTTTTGAATCAACTAGATTGGACTGAAGACAATGACAAAGTTTCTGGTACTGGCCTTGTTTAATCAACATGAAATTAGGAACCTAGGACAGACAGGCTGATGAAAGGCAGACAAAAATGATATGAATCACCACAATGCACTGTAATACCTGCCATACGCAGAAGTCCAACAGCTTTCAGAAAACCCACACATTTATTAAAGAAAAAACTCTAGATATGCTGTACTAGTTTCATAGAAGAGACTTGCTCTGAAGAACTCAGGACATGCCATTTCTGTACAGTCATTATTAAGGCTGCATCATCAATCTTTCCATAGTTTCATTGATTGGGAGGTTAATGGCTAGGGTTAAAAATGGGATTTCCCTTAGCAGAGAACATGCTCACTCTTCCTCTCACAAGCCCCCGCATTTCTTGCTATTTCATGTTTCATGACATGAGCTTTCTGACCTGTCTGAACCATTTTTTACCTTGTGCTACAGTTCTTCAAGATATGTTGATTCCTATGAACCTGTGTCCCTAGAATTAACAAGGGTTTAACAAAAATCTACTGTTCCTTCTCACATCCTTTGTGTATCTGTATCTACCCAAAAATTGAAGGTGCCACGTTGTATGTACCTTGATACCCTGAAAAAGTTTCTGAACAAGTGCAGGTTTTAGTTTGTGCTTTAAGAACTGGCAGGAGATGTGTTTTTTGGGTTTGGTGGTTTGGTTTTTTTTAAGTTCTTCTTAGCACAGAAGCTAGTCAGCAGGGCAGAAATAGAAAAGAAAGAATCTCAGCAGACGAATTAGCATTTTTTTAGAAAACAAAGAAATAGGTGGAACAGTAAGTAGAGAGGTTATTTTCAGAAGGTAAGTCATGTAATAGGTTTATAAATTATATTTGTGAGGGACTTTCATATGTAAATTCCTTATTGCTTTAAGAAATAATTTGAAAAAGGAATTCAAAGGAAATGTGGTGTATTTGTGCAACAGGTTGGATAAATGAAAGGCCCATATAGAGAACTATATTAGGTGGTGCTTAATCTATCCTTGCTCTATGGTCTGGAGTGGAGAAGCTATCTTCCAACTTTGTGCTACACTATTCAAAATAGCAGAGAAAAGAATAATAGGAAAAAATACCTTGACAACTGTATATTATTAGCCAATGCTTCTGTACTCACTCTGTTATGAGAGATAACCTCTGTAAAGAAGTATATTTTTATGGTCTTTACCTACTGCTGATTTGCCTTTGTCCCGGAGTGTGAGTTTCTATGCCTACACTTATGCTGGCACTTTGCAGCTGCTCTTGAAAACATCTAAAATAATTCTAGTTCTTTTCTCTAAGAGTATACGTAAAAGGCATACATCCAGCTGCATCTGCGAAATATTTGTATGCTTTGGACATGTTAATACATCCAAAGGTTGGAAACTCAGTCCATAATGGGCTAACAGTTACTGCAATAAAATTTGGTACAGCATAAAGTCAAGCACACTTGAAGAACCTTCCCTGAACAACAAGGAGCTTATGCAAGATGGTAACATCAGCGTGTGTTTAACTGCAATTGTTAGCTCAAAAAATTCCAGGCCAGAATTTGCTGCCATTTACTTTACTTAAAAGCCACTTAAAAAAGCTCCATACGGAAAACAGAGATATGGAGATGAAATCATGTTCTTAAGCTATCATTGTCCAAGACTGGAAAAAACCTCCAGACTAGAAAACTTTCTAAAATTATGTTACATCCTATATTTGTATCGAGCATTTACAAAAATGGGTAGTATTGAAAAGAGAAATAAAAAAGTCTTTTGTGTAGTTATAAAAGAGCTGGTTCCTCTATTAGTCCATATTGAAACCAAAACATTTTTGCAAGAATTTTTAGTCCACACAATGAGAGCTTAACATTTGGTTACTCTTTGTTCATCTACCATTTAATATGTTCTGCACATATTGGCTAGAAAAACAGAAAAGGAAAAAAAAGGTATCAAACTGAGTAACTGGAAGGAAAAATATGAAGGAACTGTGGAACATGACACAAAAAGTTGTAACCATTCACTGCCCCTTAACCATGGATAGGTATTCTGCACATTGCAGAATCT